GGGAGCTTGTACATGGGGAATAATGGTTTGCCAGGGAGAGCAGCGGGCAGCACAGAGCCCTAAGGACTGCCTGCAGCATTTACCGAGAGCCCTGAGCTGGGGTGGCACCAAAACCCAGGTGTCAGCAAGGACCAAGAAGTCCCAGCGGAAATATTTGCTCGGAACCACATGGTTCCTGCCCAAAAAAAGCATCCATGGCAGGGGAAGGGAAATATTTGCTCGGAACCACACGGTTCCTGCCCAAAAAAAGCATCCGTGGCAGGGGAATGTCATGGGAGGCTTTGGGGAGGGACCCATCTTTCTGTTCAAGGCGTGGGACGGCGGCAGCAGCAGGGTGGATCCCCAAACAGCCCCATCGTCCCTTTAAATCCCAGCAGGGCTCCGGTGGCTAACGATAACCCCGGATCATATGCGCTCCTAAATCCCCAGAGCTAATTACAGGCGAACGCCCCGCGCTCAGCCTGGAAATGCAAGATAATTACAGCCTGTGCCACGGAGACCTGTTGGTCTGAACTGGGGCACCGGGGGTGGCTGCTGGTGGGTTGCCCGTGCCCCCCACCGCTGCACCAGCGACCATGTTGCGAGCTATTTTGGGCAAAGGAGGTTGTTTTTCTGGAGTTCTCTTCTCCCCCTCCCACCCCCTCTCCATCGGTACCACCACCCTGGGGTGGATGCAGAAGCAGGGGAGGAAGGGTGCAGGAAACAGGTTACTTTTCACCCAATTTCTGGCCAGGTGCTTCCCAGCCGGAGCACAGGCGAATCCACAGGAGAGGCTTGGATTTCAGTGCCAGCTCCTCTGTCGGGTTTTGCTCTGCTCCCTGGTGCACAGGGAAGGTGCTGGCTGGCTCCCAGAGCTGGCTGATGCCCCTGTGTTGGCTACAAGCCTTCCCCGGGCTCCGACAGTGGATTTTCTGGGAGCATTCCAGCGCTCCGGCTGCTTTTCCCCCAGCAAAGCCCGGGGGAAAGGAGAGTGTAACCCATCCCTCCCGCCTGGCAGAGATGCCCAGGGCAGGCGCAGTGGCAGCCTGGCAGGGTTAGCAACCTGTATACTCTTACAGCAGGTGAGACCTACAGCGGGGGGGAATGTTAATTAAAAGTAATTTTAACCCTTCCTGCCTGGTTTAGCATTACAGCATCACCCGCTGCCTGAGCTGGGAGAGTAGCCAGAGAGGTATGACTTCAAAATATGTAATTATGGCAGCAAAGACCTATAAACGCAGCGGAAGAAGGTCACTCTGGTTGGTTGTTAAAGAGTTTAAGCCGTGAGGCAGCAGTGGGGTGGCCCGTGACGGAGGGACCACAGCCCCGGCCGTGGGCTCAGCGCAGCCTCCAGCCCTGCCGGGAGGTGGAGAGGGATGAGGTCCTCAGGCCAGACCCGGGTTTTTCTCCCAGCAGGATAAAGGAGCGAAGCTGGAGGAGCAAACGGAGCGGCAAAAGCGGTCGCACGATGAAGCAAATGGAAAAAAAATATTTCCCCGACCAGAAACTATTCCACAGGCTGCTGTGACAGGAAAAAAATACAGCTGAGTTATTGAGAAAGCAATGCAAAATCCAAACAGTTTAGTCTGGGAAAATCAGTCATTTGCAAAGCTATTTCCAAACTAAGTAAAAAGTTGCCGGCTCGCAGGTCCCTGAGAAGCCCCCGGCTGCCACCCCGGCTGGTCGGGGCAGGGTGGCTGTGCTGAGGGGACACCACTGTCCCCTGTTTGCTGCACTCCAAGCTGGGAAAACACTTTGTGATTTCCACTTCATCCAGCACACGGGGGTCTTTTGGGGATCAACACGTCCCCACCACCGCTCCGTGCGGTGAATATTTAATCCTTGGCACAGAGTGCATTCCTGGAGGATCTGAAAGGACATTGGGGAGGTGGAGGGTGGGGGGACACATGGCCAGCTCTGCACCCTGAGCCACTGCCTCCACCTCTGTGTGCAGGGCTATATTTGGGAAGCTGCAGCGTGTTCCTGGCATGTCCCGGGGAGCGATGTCTGCTCCGGGTCCTAGTGCGGTGTGGGAGTGGAGAGGAGAGGAGAGGAGAGGAGAGGAGAGGAGAGGAGAGGAGCCAGCCTGGATTCCCCCCACCTGGGCTCTTTAAGGGCTCTGGCAAGGAGCTCCCTGCCATTTCCAAACAGCTTCTCTCTTCTCCTTTTACAGAAGCCCAGCCGCCCGGCAGGCATGTGTAAAGCAGCCATGGCTATTTTCAGAGTGAGAGGCGGCGGGGGAGCCCGTTCCCCCCCCCAGACACGGCCTGGGGGTCTCACACACGGATGCCCACGCGTGTCCGCAGGGGCTGGGAGAACTGCACAGCACATCCCCCCCTTTCCCCCAGCACTGCCAGGGCCCTGTGCTCACAGTGCGTGGCGTGAACATCGGGATTAGACAAATAATGAAGGCCGGGATTAAGAAAATAATGAAGCTGGGATGCTCTCCAGGAGCGGGCAGGCGTCTGTGGGGATGGGAGGAGTGACAGCCGCACGTGGTGGCAGGACTGGGGCTGGTGCCCACGAGTGTTGCTGGGTGGGGGGAGACTCCTGGGTGCTGGGGCAGGGACTCGGGTGGCACTGTGCCACACTTGTGGGGGGAAAACAGTGTTTTCTCCTTCCCTTTGCCTTTTCTTTTCCTATTCCAGCTCCTCGCGTGCAGCAAGGTCTACAGCACAAAACACAAGTATCCTGCAACCCAGCTAAGCCCTCTCCTTTTCCTAAGAGGTCCCAGAGGTGCCAGCACAGTCCCCCTCTGTTTGGCACCTCGGGGGTGGACACTTGCATGGCAGCTTCATGTGGTGTTGGGGGTCACTTCACCCATCCAGACCACAGCTCCACAGGGTCTGCTCCATTCCTGGGAGTGGTCCCAGAGATGCCAGCACAGTCCCCCTCTGTTTGGCACCTTGGTGGTGGACACTTCTTAAGTGGTCCCAGAGATGCCAGCACAGTCCCCCTCTGTTTGACTCCTTGGTGGTGGACACTTCCTAAGAGGTCCCAGAGATGCCAGCACAGTCCCCCTCTGTTTGGCACCTTGGTGGTAGACACTTCCATGGCAGCTTCGTGTGGTGTTGGAGGTCACGCCACCCATCCAGACCACAGCTCCACAGGGAGGTTGCTCCATTCCCGGGAGTGGTCCCAGAGATGCCAGCACAGTCCTCTTCTGTTTGGCACCTTGGTGGTAGACACTTCCTAAGTGGTCCCAGAGATGCCAGCACAGTCCCCCTCTGGCACCTTGGTGGTGGGCAGTTCCACAGCAGCTTCGTGTGGTGCTGCCTCCACCTCTGTGTGCAGGGCTATATTTGGGAAGCTGCAGCGTGTTCCTGGCATGTCCCGGGGAGCGATGTCTGCTCCGGGTCCTAGTGCGGTGTGGGAGTGGAGAGGAGAGGAGAGGAGAGGAGAGGAGAGGAGAGGAGAGGAGCCAGCCTGGATTCCCCCCACCTGGGCTCTTTAAGGGCTCTGGCAAGGAGCTCCCTGCCATTTCCAAACAGCTTCTCTCTTCTCCTTTTACAGAAGCCCAGCCGCCCGGCAGGCATGTGTAAAGCAGCCATGGCTATTTTCAGAGTGAGAGGCGGCGGGGGAGCCCGTTCCCCCCCCCAGACACGGCCTGGGGGTCTCACACACGGATGCCCACGCGTGTCCGCAGGGGCTGGGAGAACTGCACAGCACATCCCCCCCTTTCCCCCAGCACTGCCAGGGCCCTGTGCTCACAGTGCGTGGCGTGAACATCGGGATTAGACAAATAATGAAGGCCGGGATTAAGAAAATAATGAAGCTGGGATGCTCTCCAGGAGCGGGCAGGCGTCTGTGGGGATGGGAGGAGTGACAGCCGCACGTGGTGGCAGGACTGGGGCTGGTGCCCACGAGTGTTGCTGGGTGGGGGGAGACTCCTGGGTGCTGGGGCAGGGACTCGGGTGGCACTGTGCCACACTTGTGGGGGGAAAACAGTGTTTTCTTCTTCCCTTTGCCTTTTCTTTTCCTATTCTATCTCCTCGCATGCAGCGAGGTCTGCAGCACACAACACAAGTATCCTGCAACCCAGCTAAGCCCTCTCCTTTTCCTAAGAGGTCCCAGAGGTGCCAGCACAGTCCCCCTCTGTTTGGCACCTCGGGGGTGGACACTTGCATGGCAGCTTCGTGTGGTGTTGGGGGTCACTTCACCCATCCAGACCACAGCTCCACAGGGTCTGCTCCATTCCTGGGAGTGGTCCCAGAGATGCCAGCACAGTTCCCCTCTGTCTGACTCCTTGGTGGTGGACACTTCCTAAGAGGTCCCAGAGATGCCAGCACAGTTCCCCTCTGTCTGACTCCTTGGTGGTGGACACTTCCTAAGAGGTCCCAGAGATGCCAGCACAGTTCCCCTCTGTCTGACTCCTTGGTGGTGGACACTTCCTAAGAGGTCCCAGAGATGCCAGCACAGTTCCCCTCTGTCTGACTCCTTGGTGGTGGACACTTCCTAAGAGGTCCCAGAGATGCCAGCACAGTTCCCCTCTGTCTGACTCCTTGGTGGTGGACACTTCCTAAGAGGTCCCAGAGATGCCAGCACAGTTCCCCTCTGTCTGACTCCTTGGTGGTGGACACTTCCTAAGAGGTCCCAGAGATGCCAGCACAGTTCCCCTCTGTCTGACTCCTTGGTGGTGGACACTTCCTAAGAGGTCCCAGAGATGCCAGCACAGTTCCCCTCTGTCTGACTCCTTGGTGGTGGACACTTCCTAAGAGGTCCCAGAGATGCCAGCACAGTTCCCCTCTGTCTGACTCCTTGGTGGTGGACACTTCCTAAGAGGTCCCAGAGGTGCCAGCACAGTCCCCCTCTGTTTGGCACCTTGGTGGTGGACACTTCTTAAGTGGTCCCAGAGATGCCAGCACAGTTCCCCTCTGTCTGACTCCACACTTGTGGGGGGAAAACAGTGTTTTCTCCTTCCCTTTGCCTTTTCTTTTCCTATTCCAGCTCCTCGCGTGCAGCAAGGTCTACAGCACAAAACACAAGTATCCTGCAACCCAGCTAAGCCCTCTCCTTTTCCTAAGAGGTCCCAGAGATGCCAGCACAGTCCCCCTCTGGCACCTTGGTGGTGGACACTTCCTAAGAGGTCCCAGAGATGCCAGCACAGTCCCCCTCTGGCACCTTGGTGGTGGACACTTCCTAAGAGGTCCCAGAGATGCCAGCACAGTCCCCCTCTGGCACCTTGGTGGTGGACACTTCCTAAGAGGTCCCAGAGATGCCAGCACAGTCCCCCTCTGGCACCTTGGTGGTGGACACTTCCTAAGAGGTCCCAGAGATGCCAGCACAGTCCCCCTCTGGCACCTTGGTGGTGGACACTTCCTAAGAGGTCCCAGAGATGCCAGCACAGTCCCCCTCTGGCACCTTGGTGGTGGACACTTCCTAAGAGGTCCCAGAGATGCCAGCACCGTCCCCCTCTGTTTGGCACCTTGGTGGTAGACACTTCCATGGCAGCTTCGTGTGGTGTTGGAGGTCACGCCACCCATCCAGACCACAGCTCCACAGGGAGGTTGCTCCATTCCTGGGAGTGGTCCCAGAGATGCCAGCACAGTCCTCTTCTGTTTGGCACCTTGGTGGTAGACACTTCCTAAGTGGTCCCAGAGATGCCAGCACAGTCCCCCTCTGGCACCTTGGTGGTGGGCAGTTCCACAGCAGCTTCGCGTGGTGTTGGGGGGTCACTTCACCCATCCAGACCACAGCTCCACAGGGTCTGCTCCATTCCCGGGAGTGGTCCCAGAGATGCCAGCACAGTCCCCCTCTGTTTGGCACCTTGGTGGTGGACCCATCCTAAGTGGTCCCAGAGATGCCAGCACAGTCCCCCCTATTTGGCACCTCGGTGGTGGGCACTTCCATGGCAGCTTTGCATGGTGTTGAGGGTCACTTCACCCATCCAGACCACAGCTCCACAGAGGGGTTGCTCCATTCCTGGGGGGGCTCAGAGCCAGGGATGGCCAGCAGCTGCCCGCTCTGCTGGCTCAGCATCCAGCCACTGAACATGGGGACATCTGGGTGGGATGTCCCCATCGCCCTGGCTGCTCCGTGCCAGCCGGTGGCTCTGTGACAGCAGTGCCACGGGGTGTGTGTGTGCGCAGGCGTGGAGGCACAGGGAGTGGCGGAGGCGGCAGGGGCAGGACCGCCTGCTATCGCTGACACAGATCGCTTTTATGGCCTGCTGTTTACAGCCACGGACAGGTAGGGTTAGCCTTGAGAGGTGACTCACGGTGGCAACCAGCAACCAGCCCCCTGCCTCCCCCAGCCCGGCTCAGAGAATGGGATAATAACCGGGACGAGAAGCACCAGGAGGCTTTGTCCCTCCGTTCCCCTGAGGGCTGTCAGGGCGCCCAGGCACGGGACCGGAATTTTTGACTGCTTGAACACTCACCCTTAAATATTTCGTCATGAAAGCAGGGAAGATGAAATTAAAAATACGATGAGTCGGAGCCCAGGCACGGCTCAGCCGAGGGCTTGGTGACCTGCCAGGCTCCGGGGGGATGCTTTTAATTTGGGTAAATGGGAGTTGCATAAATGCTATAAATCGCACGTCGCCCTGGCTGTTAACGCAGAGGTGTGGGCGCCGTTGGCAGCACCCCACCATGTGCCCGTCGCCGGCTGAGTGCCCAGCCAGGCTGCATGCAGGGGCTGGCACAGCCATTGCCCCGACACAGCTCCCATCCCGGGTATCCACCATCCCCTTCGCCCTCTGCCCTGCTAGGGTTTTTTTCGTTGGTTTTTTTTTTAGAGCGGCTGTTTTCCAAAAACAGCTTGAAAATATGTAACACTCATACCAGAGCTGAGCGGTCACACTCTTGTCCCTGCCGGTCAGGCCAGTCCCTGTGAGCTCATGGTGTCTGTGGTTTCCCCAAGCAGCTGTTCAGCACTGGAAAGGAAAAAAAAGCTGAGCAGCTGCAGGGACTGGGATTGCTTCTGTGTGGGAGACACGGCCCCCAAGGTCTCAGCTGGTTTTATTCCCAGCCCTGGTAACTCTTTCCAGACTGGTAAAATGAGGGAAACTCTCGTGTGTGGGGTTTGGGGGGGGTGGGGGGGTCCTGCTTTGGGCTCACACGGGGCTGGGCAAGTGATGGACGCAGCATCCCCACCAAAAACGTGGGTACCTCATTGTGAGCTGGCCTGGCTGCCAAGGGATGAGCACCCAGTGCGTTATTCTAAAAGTTACCTAAGACTTTAAGTCTGCCCAAAGCAGGGAAAATTGGCCGACCTCAAACACTCCGTGCCTTGTCTCATCTCTCCCGGGCAGTCAGCCTGTGCCCAGGCTGCACTGAGTAATCAGGCCGTCACCACGCGCGTCGTGCGTCACGGTGCCAGGCAGCTCACCCCACCGCTCACCGGGGGGAAAAGGCAGGTGCTGGGGGCCACCACGTGTGCCTGGCAGAGCAGGGACCCCCGCAGCCATCCCTGCAAGGAGCAAGCCCAGCCAGCCTTGTGTTCCCACCACCGTGGAGCTCAGCTGGCCTCCCCAAGCATGGACCACAGATGGGACAGACAGGAGGGGACGTGGGGTTGAGTGGTGGTGGGAGGTCTGGCCCCATTAGCAGGTCTATAGCCCATCACCTTGAAGGTAGGTCCTTGAAGGTGGTGGGAAAAGCACCATGGGGCTCAGCAGTAGGCCAAGGTGGTCTTCACCACCTCCTACCCAGGTGCAGGAGCATCCAGGATGGAGGAACCACATCTCCTCCATAACATGCTGCCCAAATCTGGAGGCCAGCCCTGCACACACACGCCAACCGCCCGCCGGACCCGAAGGGGTGCCCCTGCCATGGATGAGCTTGCGAGATACCAAAATACTCCCTGTCTCAGCACCACCCTTCCTCCCACACACTGCCCCACAAAGCACAGGGCCACGGGTTGATGGGTGCCCTGGCTCAGCCCCACACACCCTTCCCTGGGGCTGGAGCTGGGGTCAGCTCCCCGAGTTGGGGTGGCAGTGGGTGCAGGTGAAAGCCCCAGGGCTGGCTGCAGGCAGGGCTGGCACCCACCCTGGCATCCCCCTGCCCCATGGCAGGACCCCACTGTCCTGCCTGACACCTCTCCCTTGGGGGGACCCCCACGTGTGGCTGCACTTTTGGGTTCTTGTAGCTGCCAGGACCCAACTGAGCCAGGATTTGGCAGAGGGGTCCTAGGGAGGACCCCAGAGACTTGGGGGCACAGAGGGTGTAGCATGGGGGCTGGCAGAGCTACGGCTGGAGAAGGGGGGGGTCCAAGGGTGGGTGCTGGTGGGGGGGTCCTGGGGTAGCAGGGGGGTCCTGGAGTGGGGGTCCTGGCTATGCTGGGAGTGTCCTGAGGCATGTGTTTCTGGCAGAGATGGGGAGTCCTGTGGTGGCCAGCAGGGCAAGGGAGGTGACTCTGCCCCTCTGCTCTGCTCTGGTGAGACCCCACCGGGAGCACTGTGTCCAGCTCTGGGGTCCTCAGCACAAGAAGGACATGGACCTGTTGGAGTGGGGCCAGAGGAGACCATGAAGATGCTGGGAGGGCTGGAGCCCCTCTGCTGGGAGGACAGGCTGAGAGAGCTGGGGGGGTTCAGCCTGGAGAAGAGAAGGCTCTGGGGAGACCTTAGAGCCCCTTCCAGTCCCTAAAGGGGCTCCAGGAGAGATGGGGGGGACTTTTTACAAGGGCATGTAGTGATAGGATGAGGGGTAATGGCTTCAAACTGGAAGAGGGGAGATTTTGATGAGATCTCAGGGAGAATTTTTTCACTCTGAGGATGGTGAGACCCTGCCCCATCCCTGGAGGGGTTCAAGGCCAGGCTGGATGGGGCTTGGAGCAACCTGCTCTGGTGGGAGGTGTCCCTGCCTGGGGTGTGGGCACTGGATGGTCCTTAAGGACCCTTCCCAACCACTCTATGATCCCTATCAATCCTTCATGGCCTACACAATCTTATTTTGAAGTCTTATGGGAAGAAACAAGTGGATCACAGAGTTATTATTTATAAAAGCACCATGAGAGTGAAGTCATTTCTTCCTCCAAAGGTACCAATTTGTTGCACTGTGATTTATGCAGAACAAATGGAGTCATTAGTCCGTTTCTGTAATTCCTTTTTACTCCAGAAACAGAAGAGCCCAACCTCTTCCCTCACCTTTCTCCATGAATAA